TCAAACCCGACGCTTTGTCTCGTATATTTGATTTTTCCGAACGCCCGTCTACTCCCGAGTGCATTTTACCCGAAACTCTATTCGTTTCCACACTCACATGGGAGGTCGAATCGAGGGTCGAGAAGGCCTTAGAAGGGGTAACGCCTCCGCCCGGTTGCCCACCGAATCGTTTATTCGTACCGGAGGGATTACGGTCGGATGTTATCCAGTGGGGTCATAGCTCCAACGTGGCTTGCCATCCAGGAGTTAATCGTACTAGTTATTTAGTCAAGCAACGGTTCTGGTGGCCACTTATGGCTCGTGACATTCACGATTTTGTTTTGGCTTGCTCGGTCTGTGCCACTCCAATCGACCCCCAGATGGGTTACTTCAGCCGCTGCCGGTTCCTTCGAGACCCTGGTCCCATATCGCTCTAGATTTTATTACCGCCCTCCCACCCTCCCAGGGTAACACAGTAGTTTTGACTGTGGTGGACCGATTCTCGAAGGCAGCCCATTTTATTCCCTTGCCCAAATTACCCTCAGCCAAGGAGACAGCGGTGACGGTCGTTGATCACGTCTTTCGGTTACATGGCCTCCCGAGAGACGTGGTTTCTGACAGGGGACCCCAGTTTGTGTCCAAATTTTGGCAAGAGTTTTGTAGGTTACTGGGGGCGACAGTTAGTCTGTCCTCTGGGTTTCATCCCCAGAGCAATGGCCAGACCGAGAGAGCCAACCAAGATTTGGAGAGGGTGTTGCGATGTTTGGTCTCCAAGAATCCTTCCTCTTGGAGTCAACAACTGTCTATGGTGGAGTACGCACACAACACGTTGCCAGTGTCAGCCATGGGCCTATCTCCGTTTGAGTGTAGCGTAGGTTACCAGCCACCTATTTTTCCCAGTCTGGAATCCGAGGTTGCGGTCCCCTCCGCTCACGCCTTCGTCCAGAGGTGTCACCGCACTTGGACTAGAGCCCGGGAGACTCTACTCCAAGTGGGGGCGCGCACCAAGGCCAAGGCCGATCGCCACAGGTCAAAGCCTCCCGTATACGTCGTTGGTCAAAAAGTGTGGCTTTCAACCAGGAATATTCCACTCCGCACCGTCTCTAATAAGCTTGCACCCAAATTTATTGGCCCATTTCCTGTCACCAAGATCATTAGTCCGGTGGCAGTCCGCCTCAAGTTACCTCCTGCGTACAGGAGGGTCCATTCCGTCTTTCATGTTTCAAAGATTAAACCCGTGTTTCATTCTCACATTAATCCGCCTGCCCCGGTTCCTCCCCCACCGCGACTCGTAGATGGGGAGACCACATATTCGGTTAACCGAATTCTGGACTCTAGGCGGAGGGGACGCGGATTTCAGTACTTGGTGGACTGGGAAGGTTACGGTCCGGAGGAGAGAAGTTGGGTACCTGCCAGAGACATCCTGGATCACTCCCTTATTGATGATTACAATCGACAGGTAAAGGAGTCTGGGAGCGCCAGGAGGCGTTCTTAGGAGGAGGGGTACTGTCACGGTAGACACATTCTCTGTCCCTTCTAGTCTCGTGTTTATGTTGTTGTATGAGTGCACGTGTGTAGTGGGCGTGAGTGTATGTCATTACCTAATCCACTCCAGCTGATCATCATTACATCACCAGCTGCAGACACTCTCACCACGCTTTAAATGCTCACCGTTGTGTTCTCATCTTTGTCAGATCGTTGTTTGATGTCGTCGGTGTTGGTGTTTCTAGTCTTCGTGTTCCTGCCCAGTGTTCCCGTTGTTCGTCGTTCTGGATTTCGTCACCTTGTGGATTGTCTTCTCACCATCGTCTCATCACGGCACTTTCACTAGTCTGACCATCGAAGTCCCTGCGCCACCCACTACCATCGGCTTGTACTGTTCCAGTTTGTTTGTGACATTTACTTCCTTATTAAAAGAGTCAACTCGCGTTTGCTTCCTGTTGTCATTTGGATCATTATGACAATAGTAGTATGAATTGTAGCTGAAATATAGCTAGTGACAGATGATTAATAAGTGATAGTGATAAGCGTTGAAATCACAAAACACCTTAGTCTCTCAAATCAAATAAATCTAAATGCAAATTTTAAATCCAAATCTTAAATCAATATCTTAAGTGTTCAATCTAAATGTAAAATATGAAATATAAATTTTAAATACAAGTACAAATCTAACTCTAATCCAAGTCTTAAAAATAATTCAAATTTAAATGCATTTTTTAAAATTGGAATCTCAAATCAAAATCATGATATGTTAAATCTAAATGTAAAATTTTAAATCTGAATCTTAAAAAATGTATTTACTGAAAAAAGTATGTCTAAAATCTAAATCTAAATGACGTTGCTCACGAGCAGACAATGTAGTTTTATTGATCATAGCTCATTTTGCTGTATTGCGTCACTTGCTCACACTGGGAGGTTATGTATTTGTGTACACACACAGAGGAGGGTCGGAGTAGGGCTCATCTCTAATATTTCAGCTTAACCTTGATAAATAAACCAACAAGACCTTTTCAATAATTAACAACCCCTCACCACAAGTCTAATCCAGTGTGACACAAACATAAACATACACACACACACTGATGCTCCAGAGCTGAAATATAAATGAGTAGCTGTAGGATTGGCAAACAAAGGCATATGCTACATGTAAGTCCACGGTAATACACTTTTTAATCTTACCGTTAACATGGTCAGCAATGCAACAAGGCGACTACTGTAAATTATCGACTGTGTGAGTATGTGCTTGGCAGAACAGGATGGTAAAGGGGAGGTTTTGGAGAGGGATTCTAATGCATTGGGTTTTTTGAACGCTTTTTTAGGGTAAAGTGCTCCCCTGGGATCTCAGTTAGCGCCCAGTGATCAAAGTTTTGACAAAAGAGCTCGGAGCGTTTGATACACTCTGATACACTCTCAGCAGGGAGAAGATCTCAGCTTCAAACAGTGCAGATCACAGGGGAAACAAGCACCAGCTAAAAGCATCACTCGCAGCCACACACACCAGGACGAAACCACAAAAATCTACATTAATACATTAATGCTTTTATTCTATATTAATACACATAAATAGTTTACATCTGTGACTTATAACAGCACAGACGCCATACATGGATATTTGGGAAGTGAAACACACAGTGCATGTGTGTTTTACATTGGTCGGGCTGATGTCTCTAGCTGCTCTTAAATGCCCTTGAGTCTCACAGGCCCATTACAGCCAATTAAGATCCACATAATCACAAGCGTGTGCAAAACCGCACAGCACCCGACGCTCTGTCTTTCTCTTTCTCATTACGGGCATATTGTAGAAATTAACAACTGCCAACATAGGTTAATTAAAAGTGATTTCCCTAGGGAACAAACAGTAACACGCACACATATTCTCTGTTTTATCGATGGATTCATCTATTGGTGGAGCAACTATGAGGTACATTTGACGGGACAGAATCCCTGCGGCTAACGCGTGTTATTATTGCACTTGGGCAATTAGCAAATGTTCCCTAAAATGTTTGTCCATTCAATTTTTTTTAAATCGTATTTTTGGGCTTTAACCTTTTTTTTAATATTTAATCATTTTAAATCAGGGCTCTCAAATTCATAATTAACCCTTACACTGTTGAAAACCACGCAACACCTTTTGTGTTTCCGGTGGCCTTTTCAAAATGACTGGCCTTTTAAAAATTGCTTGTAAATTGCTCTTAATGCTATATTATCACCAAATATTGGATGTCAACTTGTTTTCTTTCAACTAGGACAGGTTTTGTATTATATTTTTTTAAACTGATTGATTGTAGGCCTCAATGATCTGATCTTAAATTGGTCAAAAAAATTGGGAATTAGTTGTACCATTTGTGAGCAAAGTCAGTAAGTTTTAGTCCAATGCGATAAAATTAACTAACATTTTCGGGAAAAAGAAAATCCTCTCCGGATCAAAATGACCAGAACACAACATAAGGGTTAAATATGGCAGTCAACTAGCGCCATTTGAGTAGCTGCAACAAATATACATGTTTTTACCTTGAACTTTAACTATAAAAGAACAGTTATCATACAGCTTAGCACACAACCATAACAATACTGTTTTCATGGATGTGAATCAAATAAATAGATAAATAATTACATCCACTGAAAATGTTTGGGAAAGGTTGTGTGCTATAAATCCTACACAACTACAAGATAACATTAATACGGAGCCCTGCGCATGACAGGTGGATGAAAAAATAGATATTGCGGCCACGAATTAAGAATTCATTCACACGATTTATTAAAATAATTTATTAATTCATGGCCATGTTTTATTTATTCCTTCCTTCATTTTAGTTAACTTGTAGCTACATTGTTGTAATCTGTTCTCTTGTTTTAATTTAGTTAAATCATGGCCACGTTTAACTCATTTAACTAAAATGAGGGAATTAATTAAGTCATGGAAACAAATTCTTAATTGGTGACCATGATATCTTGTTATTTTCTCCCCGGATGTCATGTGTGGGTATCTGTACATTAAAACCAAAATGTAGAAAGTCAAAAATTGAATTGTAGGTCTGATTAGAGGACAAATTATTCCTCACATTTGAGGAGGGCACAAGATAAAAAAATATGTGGGCAAAATTTGGCTTGTTGGCTGATAGTTTAAGAACAGTTATAATAGAGGGTGACAAAAAAAAATAAAGAAGGAAGGGGAGATTAAGATTATTGAACATGACAAGGCTCAAAAATGTGTTACCAACTTGAACACCAAGGAAAAATATGCCTGGAATATGTGTGCTCACTACTGCACTGCAGCCCCAACATATGTTGGCTAGATAAAAAAAAATAAATAAATAACGGAGGCACACTACCTCCTTTTACGAATGCTTAATCCCATTCTGTACACACATCTATGGTTATAGATGGTGCTTCATTAAAATTTTCCAGGTGCAGACACACTGGTTTGGTAAAAAATAGCTAAACCCAAAGTAGGGAATTGACTGCACTCTCTGTTTCTTGTCATTACGATATTGGTTAACAGAACACACACACACACTTACCTATAATGTAGTAGTCTCGTAAGTTCTTGAACTCGTGGCCCCAGAGGTTGGGCGAATACTCCTGGAACTTGATGGTAAACCTCATATCGCTGTTGGGTTTGTCGCAGGTGAGCAACAGGTTGGGGGCGCCCATCACCTCACACTTGTCGGCCTGCTCTCGTGAGGACACCAGGTACAGTTTATAAAACTCATACTCAGAGGGAGAGTTTGGCCCCAAGGGATTTGTGGCAGGACACACAAGGTCCAAACGATCCCCTATTTGAGGGTAGAGTATGTAGCCCCTCTCATCTCCAAACCTGCAGAAAGAGAGAGATGAAGAGTGAGTGACAGACTATAAATAAATGTTCATCTCCATGGAAACTGAGATTGACAGTCTGATATTTGCTTGCATGTACGTGCATGTGAAACTGCTAGGCCTGTTTGATGCTGGAACTGCCCTTTTGTTCATACATTTTTTTACACAAAACGTAAATATACATGCCCTTTGGTTCTGGAGAGTGTGTGAGAGGGCATATGTATGGCTTTGCTTGCCAATGTGATGAAAATGAGTGTGTGTAGAGGTTACATTTTGTCTGCAATAGTAAAACCTGGAATCGCTTAGATTGTGGGAAGCAGCCAAGGGCTTAAAGGGAAAGTTCACCCAAAAATTAATATTTCGGTCATCATTTACTTACCCTCATTTGTTTCTTTCTAAACCTGTATGACTTTCTTCTGTTAAACAGTCACTCTTTTCAATGCAATTATAATGAATGGGGACTTCCAAGTTAAAAAAATTACTCAAAAGCACCATAAAAGTATCATAAAATAATCCATACAACTTGTGCAAGAAACAGAATTTTAGCTATTATTTAATAATCTTCCTCTTCAGCGAGATGTTAACAGCTGTGTCCGGATCATTGAGTCAATGAGTTAACAGAGAACTCGATCAGTTTAATTCCTAAATGAATCATGAATGAAGGTTTTTTTTTTTTGAGCAGACCTATTACACCCTTGTTTTGGGGGTCTACTAGAACACATTTTCATGCGTGAAATGAATGTTAAAAAACATTATTTGTCACATATTTTACATTATTGCAGCACCTCTCTTCCCAGTTTGTCTCCCTCTCAAGAGCGCAGTGTGCTCTGATTTTGGCTGGACCAGAGATTGTGATTGGTCAAACACTTTGAGTGTGCTTCTGAAAAGTCACGCCCCTTACCATCAACACAGTACTAACTCAATTCAGCCATGCCTCGGCCATTTTTTATTTTTTTACATTTTTGCCTATGACATGGTTGGGATTTATATAAATGAGGAATATTGTGGCTTGCACGATCCCAGAAGAAAACTCAAGGATACAATCTAGGTACTTCATAGAGAATTTAGAATCAGTGCTTACTGATATAGAGAATAACTCCCTTTGGGGTGGACTTTGTGCTTTGTAACTTTGCAGACCTTTTTCATATTCAAACACTAACATTACACACTAAAAGTTGCAAATGCAAAAAATCATAAGACCTCTTTAAGAAGAAAACTACAGGCTTTGGTGTTTTCTGAATGAATGGTGGTTTATGCCAAAAACTCACTGATCAACTAAATGAAAAACACCCTAAGGCTGTCTTTTTGTGCTGCTTGCATTGCCGTAATAATCATAATAAACATGCACACACTATTTTTGTTGCAACTGCTTGATGGGAATTCAGCACTCTGTGTCACTTTTTTAATGAGCCATATATGTTAAATAGTAATTTTTAAAGAGCCTGTCTCAAGATAAAGACTGTTGCAAGATGTGCTGGATGCTGCCACAAATAAAATATAAAATTAAATACAAGGCCTCTATTTAGTCCCAATATAGTTATGACTGAATTTCCCTGTAGAGTTTTTACTGAATTATGTGCAATGTCACATGAAGAAAACTCAAAAACAACAATGCTTCTTCTCTCATGAACAAACCAAAGAAGGTTTTGGAGAATGTTTAAGGCACTTTTTTATTTCGGAGTTTGACATCCTCACTTGTTTTATGTGTTCATTTTTGGGTGAACTATTCCTTTGATAAATACTACATGTCATAATGAAAATAGAAAAGGGTTTGAGAATTCATTAGCTTGGCATAAAAACAGATGATAGAAAGAGTATTTATGTGACAATATCATATCCAAATATATGAAAAGTTTTCATAAAAACAGCTTAGAGCACAGCAAACAGTTATTCAGTATTTTACAGCACATTCTCAGTCAAACCAAAGACCAAAGCTGAGACACAGCACTTAAAAGCTCCTATACCTCCATCCTCTTGAGGAAAAAAAGCTGTGGCATTTACCAGACTGACATTTTAGCTCTATTCAGAGACAGAGTCTTGTTCTGAAGTTGAAAATTTACCTCACAAGTAACCCCACTGCAGATAAAGGCATTTTGTAGGCCCCTCACTCCTCGCTCTAAGTGTATAAAGCTTGACATTTTCATCAGGCCGAGACATCCAAGCAAAACTCCAATTAACCACACCGCAGTTTGTAAGACACCATTGCACAGAGAGACAGACAGATCTAAAAAACTTTCCTAGTCAGACAGATAGTGAGGGAAAAAAAAGTTAAAATCATTTGACAGCAAAAGCACCTGATCTGTGTATCAACATACATTAACACAATGAGTTTAGGCCTCAATCAGTCATCCGTCACACCTAACACATATGACCAAGATGCAAACAAAGCCAATGTGATTTTAGCCTATTCATTAGCTACTAACATAAGGGATCAGACTGAGGGCAAAATCATATGATAATCAGATGCTTTAAATTATCAAACGAAAATTCAGAACACCACTGTTTGGAGCAAAACACAAACTAGGACTTCGGTGTTTACATTGTGCTGCTCATCGAACCAAGCAATTTAACAAAGGCTTTGAATTGTGATGACCACACCACACACACACATGCACACTCTGACCATTAAAGATGAACTGGGTTCATCAGACTGTCTGTATGTTTAGTTATTTATAGAGACTTGTTTAATCCTTTTGTCTGCGTGATATATTTACCTAATTGAGTGCGGTAGAAAACACAGGGGGGCAATCTGGCATTCTTTACTGGTTAAACTAGATTGCGATTGGTTAGTGAACTCACCCCACATTGTTTAGATAAAGGTTAGAGGTGGTTAGCCTGATTACGTAGGTGTTGTGGGTTTCTGTGCTGGTTTGAATCCCAGGGCTCCTTTACACTTGCACTGCAGAGGTCGAGTGACTTTGGGCCGCCCTTGGGTTTCTTGAATCCAGACTCTGTTTTCCCCCTTTCACTTATCAACAAACCTCCACTTCACTCACACCAACACAACATTTACCCATGAACCCATGTCGGGCTTCCCAAAGTTTGTTTTCAGCAAGATAATCCGACAGAATGAAAAGGAAGTGAAAATCATAATAATTCGCTATATAAATGCCTCATTCATCCATAATAATTCCAAATTCATGCATAATATTTCTGAATGTCTTATGTTATTTGAGAAAAGCAGGTGGGGACTTTCATTGTATATAACCATCAAAATAGATTTCTGGCTGCTGCAAACCGCCGTCAGTGTTAAAAGGGTCATAGAGAGGGTAGAACATGATCGTGAAATACTACATTATGACTGTTTTGGGACATTCTATGTAGTCCAAAAGTGTAGAGTATGGCCCCTTTAATTTCGCAACAGAGGACAACGGCGCATTTCATCTAACGCTCATTTTATCTTTCATCTTGTTTTCCTTACGCTCAAGCAAATGGATACGTTAACCTCAAATCCTGCCAGCCTGCAGATCCCAACTGTTCCGTGTAAACGGAAGACATTTCTATCAGAGAGCTGTCAGACCCCTGCTGAGGCATACGAAGCACGGCGACCATTACCAAGACCACCCCAGAATAGCAAAAGGACAAAAATCAAATCTTAGCATAATACAATATACTGATGGAGGCAAATGTAACATGCTACATCTGTTTCTGACTACACTACACTGATTTTTCAAAGGCTTTTGAGCATGTCAAAATTTCTCTGTGATGCGATCACCAGTTGACGAGCTAAATGCATTTCTCTTTCCTTTTCACTGGAAAAAAAAAAGCTTTGCTTATTGAAGAAATTGACAGTTATTGTCTGTTCATGGTTCAAGTGAATTGCAGAAATATTGTGCGTTCTTTGCAGTGATTATCAGACCTGACAAAGTGAAATTTTCTTTCGGGTTGGTGATTTTTGCAAATATATTTATTCATGGAAAAGGTGATTTTTAGTTAAAATTTTAGTCGAATCAAACCTTTTTTTGCACTGAAGTGAACAGACAATCAAAGTGAGAAATGTCTACATGCCTATTTGAAACACTCCTTCTGTGAATTCCATGAACTCTGATTTTAATACACCGCCATCTGAAAACTGATCTTTTTATGTATGAAAGATGCGGCATGAAATGACGATGTTTATCTTCATTTACATGGAAATTTAAGAAAATCCCATTCTTACATGGGAAAAATGACACTTCAGACTAGAAATAAACCCTCTCAAATCAGTGATTAAGTACTTTAAAGTTAATGGATCAGGTTTATACTTATTATCGATTCGTCACTGCAGAATCACAAGTATAAAAGCTCCCTGTTGCCACACTAAAGCAACAGAAGGCTGATTGAGCTAAAACTCAAACAAATACAAGAAGTGAACCACCGATTACACTTCACCTCACTGCAGCAATGTGGAAAATTACCTCTATTTTGAGTTTATATAATGACACTATTTTATTATAATTTTTTGTAATTGCACAAAACTAGGGATATTTCCCTTCCCCATATCCTCTAAAAATGTGTTTGTGTGCACGTAGATCCCCTGAAGTTACAAACCCACATTGTCTTTAAAAGTAAAACTTATAAATAATGCAGTAAATAATAGAGTAAACTTTTTTTTCAGCGATTTAAAAACGCAGAATGTTTTCTTTTAGGGTTAGGATTAGTCCATACCAAGTCCATACTGATTTGAGGTAAAATTGTGCAAATGTGTTTATATTTAAATACGGTGCTACGCTGAACTAAGAGTACACTTTTATCAGTAGCTTCAGCAAAGCGTAAGAGCAAAATATTTAATAATCGAACATAACGAGTGGCAATTTGTATAATTTATTCATAAAATGACCATTCTGTGTTAATCTGATTCCATGTGAGTCTAGACTGCAGTAACTCGTATTGAGCTTTGATTAAAAACAAAAAAGTATGCATGCAGTCATTTAAAAGCGTGTATGTGTATGTGTGTGTGTGTGTCGAGTTTATGGTCGTCAAGACCTGCTGAGGGCACCCAGATTATCTTAAGGGCTCGGA